CAAACTCAAATTTGTTGTAGCTTTGGCAGTAAAAGCAAGTAAATATGGTAACTTTAAAATGAAGGCCTTGATTTAGAAAGGTACTTAAACATGTGCCTAACTACTTTAGGCAACTGAGCAGTGCCACTTAAGTCAGTGGGACTACTCAGATACTTAAATGTGCTTATGCAGTTTCCTGAATTGGGGCCAATAACATTCCCCCTATCTAATGAGCATAATGGACATAAGCTCAACACAGTACCGCAAATAAGCTCAGTAGTATTTCATCACAATAAAAATACAAGAAAAATGACAAATTAAAATTTTTGAAGAGTGAGTAAGAATTTGTTATTTTACCAAGAATTGTGTCCTTGTCACTCCGGCGTGGGCAAATCTTTGAGTAACACCCAAAACAGTGGAGATACCCCTTAACTACTCCAGTGGCCCTGCCACTATGTAATTCATGTCAGCCTCTGGCTGGCAGGTCAAGTCCTGTAGCAAATTAGGGTACGGTACATTTTACAAATTGTGCCATCACAAGTCGTTTATAGCTGAATGAGCTTCATATCAAACCAGACTTCAAGGCTGCAATTAAGTTGGTGTGCTCAGCTGATGTTTATAAATGGACAGTGTGCAGTTAGAATGGTTCTGCTCTGGCAGCTTACGCCTAACTTGAAGTCTCTTGGTCTCTTATATGGTTGCATCACAAGCAGCGAGATCAGAAAATTCATATTTATCACTCAAAATCAGGAGTAAGGAGAAATGAAGTACAAATGCTATTCCTCTGTAAACACCCTTAAAATATTAGAAAAAAAAATTAAAAAATAGAAGTGTACTGTTTAGATGGGATGGAAAACCAAGGACATTGAAGACTCCACAACCTTTTCATAAGAGTAAAGATGTCAGCCATAATGTTCTATCCAAAGTCCAATTCAGGTAATTACATTTTGTCTCAGAAAATTCACTACACATTCCAAACAAATAACACATCTTTCCCTTCCTGGAAAAATGTGCCACATAGTATTGCTGTATGCTGTTAAACAATTACCACATACCATCCGAGAATTGGCTATACCCCACTATCACTGATTACGGGAATGGGAAGGAGAACAACATCGTCCTCACCTTCAGTGGCAACCGTGTACAGTAAGGAGGCACACTAACTCCCCACTTCAGACAAAATCATCTGTGTTGTGATTTGTACTGGAGCTATAATCCCAGGTTTTAATCCTTGCCAGACAGCAAAGACTGCAGTACAAATTCCTGAGCCATTAGATAGAACAGATATTGGGAAATGCTATGCTGGAAGCAAAGAACAGGAGAAATCCCAGTATAATTACATGAACCCCCAAGCCCCAAAATTGGGAAACCCATTAATTTTTGGAATTTTCCCTTTATGTTGCTACAATTACTACAGAGATGTCACAATAAAATCAAATTATTTTGATACCCAGACCAGATATTTTAAGAAGGAAATAACCAAGATAACAACCAATCACCACTTAGGAGTCTCCCGGATTTACTTTTTAGTACCCTGGATAATCAATCATACTTGACCAATAGGGTTATCAAATTAAAAACCAGAAACCATATCCTGCTCTAATTCATGAGAGAACATTTACAAGTTTTGTTGTTTATGATTTAGTCCAATTTAAAGTCATATATGTGAGGAAACGTGCTTACGAACAAAAGAAGTGCCATATGGGATCAGACCAGTGGTCCAGCAAGTCAGTTTTGTATCTCTGACAATGACTCATACCAGATTTTTCAGAGGAAGGAACAAAAAAAACCCCATAGGGAGAAATTAAGGAATAACCTGTCCATAAGGGAAGAATTTTTCCTAACCCTAGTTTGTTTGAACCTTCATGATTCAGGGGCATACAGACATATTTTTTCTTAGCTAATGTAATTACAGATAATCTCAGTATCCACACCATTTTATTAAAAATAACACTTCCTCTCTTAGTAACCTCTTGGCCCCAATGACATTTTGTATCAATCTGTTCTGCAGATATGCTTTATGTAAAGAAAAGTATTTCTTTTTGTCAGTTTTAAATTTGCTGCCATTCAATTCAATTGAATGTCTGTTTGTTCCTTCCATTATGAAAAGAATAGATAGGAATATCTCAATTACCTTTTTTGTACCACTCATTTTATATACCCCCATCAACTCTCATCTAAACTAATCATTGCCAATTTTTTAATTTGAAGACAGTGATCAACTCAGAAAATAAAGTGCTTGTGTTCGCCTGCTTCGCTATATATATAAAAAAAAAAATAAACTAAAATAAAGTTTTAAGTCTAATTACTCCTTCTCAAATCACAGATCTATATCATTTGTAGTGATCCATAAAGTGGTTTGTAAACATTGCCTCAGGTTATGTAGGAAGAATGAATTGGGCCCCTTTAATTAAGTGCACAGAGATACCACAAAAGAACTTTGTGTGTGGTGGATAGAGGGAGAGAGAAAAATGTGTGATTGTGCAAGGCTTCTGTCCTGGGCATTTTGCTAGAGTAATAATATGTGAATTAAAATAAAATTAAACAAAAGACTAGACAGATTTCTCGGCTGCCTGCAGGACGAACAAGCTCTGAGCTGCCAATTGAATAAATTATGATTCTGCCAAGAAGCCAGATGAAGCCAATGGTATACCGCCTACAGCTTGGCATTACAGCTCTGAACATTCCATACACAAACAACAAAGGAAGCAAAATACTGGATATTTTATCTGGCTAGATTTTAAAATAAATAAGAATGTTTTCTTTCAATTTTTCAATCTATGTAATTTTTCCCACGAATAAGTAAGTAGATGCTAAACACTGATCCACTCAAGTTTGAGTCTTTGTAGCATACTTACATAAACACATTCTTTTTATTATAAAATTAGTCATTTTCCTCCTATAATTATGCTAGGATTTTCAACTTTCATGAGACATAAAACAGAAGTCCTGATTGCTTGAGTTCATTAAATACCACAATGCTCTTTGTGAGAATACGTGGTAATACTGGTGCTTTAGCTAAATTCCACCTATGATAATTCCATCCTGCCTTCAACTGCAATTTAATTTGGAAGAAACATTCTTCAGTTCCTGCTTAAATTAATGCTGCAGTTCACTGTTAAACAATTGTTGTAGTTCACCCAGTAATGGCTGTATTTCTATGGTGGATGAAGCAATTTCTATGCAGCTGGTATAACAGTTTGAATTTATAAAACTTTCTGGAATTTTTTGGGATGAGATGCAATATATAAATACATGATTATTATTTAATTTATACTACCTAGAAGTTCTCCAACTGCACTGTGCACATTTAGTTTTATTAAAACATGTTTGTTGTCAAATTGATCAACTATCCACTGGTCAAACATGCTCTGGATAAACAACATTAACTATATTACAGCTGACACATTCTCATGCTACTGAGTTGAAGAAATAAACTTGACAAATGTTTACCATAAGAATATGCTCAAATATCTGGACTGTTTTTGAAAAAAAGTCATTCAAAGTTTATGGCTTCTTTTTTAAAAACAGCAAGAAAAATATTTTACACAATATTTACTCCTGACAGAATTCTGCGCCCATGTGAGGGCGCAGAATTCATATGGCCCACATATTTCTGTGTCCTCTGTGCAGAAAAATGCTAAAGAAATCTGTGGGGTGGACATGCATCTCTTCCCTGGCAGCCCAGGCAGCACGTCTGTTCCAGAGTGCCTGGAGCAGCTTCAGAGACGCAAATCACTGCGGAGGGGAATGGGGCTTGGTGTGCGTGCCTGCAGGGGAGATGTTGATCGCCGAGGCAGCGCTTTAACGTGGCTTGTGTGGTTGCAGCACAGCGCCGGGAGAGAGTTCTCACAGCGCTCTTAAAAAAAAAAAAAAAAAACTTTCATGAGGGGCACAGCTCCCAGCACTGGGGCACTGTCTAGACTGGCATTTTACAGCACTGAAACTTGCTGTGCTCAGGGGGCGTGTTTTTTCACCCCCCTGAGCAAGAAACTTGCTGTGTTATAAATTGCTAATATAGACAAGCTTTCAGTTCCTCTCTCTTGATACTGTGGCTGGAGGGGTATGGAGGAGGGTTCTCCATTCTCAGTCAATTCCTCCAGGAGTATAAAAACCTGTAAAAGTTTTAAGGTCCGTACATTGCCAGAGTGATGTAAAGCCTTACAAATGACAGTAAGGGAATCAGCTAGGAAGATTTATACGCTTTCTCACTTTTTTCTTGTGCCAAAGTGACATAGTGGGGTTAGATTTCTACTTACCCATTTTTTTTAAAAAAAGAAGACTTTTGAGGGCAAATAAAACATTTACCAAGCAGTCAATAAAATGTCAGGACAATCAGAACCACACACTTCCTGAAGTATCCAGCTAAGTCCAGGACAATGATTAGCAAAACTGAATGACTTTCATGTGTGAAAGTCTGAGCAATTTAAAATGATATTTCCCCCCGCCCCTCCCTATTTGGTGTTCTGTAATGTAATTTAAATGAAAATCCAGGATTATAACTGGAATGCAGGGTATTACTTACCAACTATCTGTAACTTAACTTTCATGTGTTTAGGAAATGCTGAATAGTTATTGTGACTTTTTTCTGTATTGCAGTTTAAATAACTTACCAAAACAATTGAAACTGGTGTCATTATATGGCATTATTTTGACAAACAACATCTGTAGAATTTTGCAGAATTTTTAACTTTTTAGCAAAGGATTTTTAATTTTTTGGTGCAGAATCCCCCCAGGAGTAAATATGAAAATGAATAACGTTTCAGATGTGACTTCTGCAATATTGAACTTATTCCTGTCATACTCCCAATGTGCAGTCTCACAAAACACTTCCCTCATAAACCAATCACTTCTTGTATTACCTATATGGGATTAGGTGCTCCAGAGTTCCTCCGTGCCACCAGTGAATTTGAAGAGTTAAAGTGAGAATTTTCATGAAGAAAACTTTTCAAATGCATCAGATTTAATTCCATTCACCTTTCACATTCCTTGTATTTAAATAATCATAGTCTTCAGCATACCTTAAGAAGCTGTTTGCCAATTGTTGGGCTCATCTTCTCATCCACCATAAGAATTACTATTCCTCTGTCATCCATACCTCGACGTCCTGCACGACCAGACATCTGAATATATTCACCTGAGGAGATCTAGAAGTAGAACAAAAAAACCTATAACTTTTGCTGTAATTTAAGCGACAGCGGCACATTGATCCCATTGCATGTTACAGTGACTGAAAATTGCATTAAAAAATACCAAAGGGTGGTATAACAGATGTGACCTTTTCATGGAGTTAAAGTAACCATACAATTCACAAAGCCACAGGTCCATGACTAAGGGCTTGTCTATACAGCCCCGCAGTACAGACTCTCAGGGGAGAAGGATGTGAGCTGCAGCGTGCAGTAAAGTGGCGCGCTGTAAATGCGGCTCAACATTTTAGTGCATACTGCAATTACCCCTCCTGCAGTCCACACTGTGAGGCCATGTACACAAGCCCTGAAGCACTAAGGGGCTTGTCTATACTGGGAAACTCAGGTAAATTTTCCAAATTAACTGAAGGTGTGAACTAAAAGTGGATTAGATAAACTGTATTAAACCTCTGTGTGGATGCTCTCATTCAGAATTAAAGTGGCCTTAATCTGGTTTATTTTAAACTAAATACAATTAAGACCACTTTAATTCTGAATGAGAACATCCACACAGAGGTTTAATACAGTTTATCTAATCAACTTTTAATTAACACTTTTAGTTAATTTGGAAAAACCTTCTTGAGTGTCCTCACATTGGCAAGTCCTTAGACATCACTGGGGTTTGTTTGTTTGTTGGGGGCGGGGGGCTGCATCTAATGTATCATGAGATTGCTGGGGGAGGAAGAGGTTAGTGAAAAAGTATGAATTCCAGTGTCCTCTGTATGCTGATAACAGCAAGCGCTGTATTTCCATCTCAATCAACTCAGAAACTGTAGTGGAGAGTGTCATCTAGTGCCTAGTGAGTATTGGGTTTTGCATTAGTCACTGGAAAACTACTTTCCCAGGTTTTTCATATGAAAGGGGAACAATAAATGGTTTGTTGGGAAAGATTCTGACAGGAAACATGGTTTCAGAATTGCGAAGAGGTTGTGTAGAATCTTTCAAATTTTTTAGACATATAGATCTAGCCTGTGTTTGGGTGTCCTTCTACTATTTTTATTAAAATAAAGTGTGTCTTTATGCATACTCTATAATGAACCTAGAATTTTAAAAGAGGGCAGTTACAGATTTGAACATTTTAATATGAATTGCACATTATTTAAAAATTACATTGATTTTGAATGAAGTAAGAGCTTTGAAGTAAATATTTTTACTGCAGCGGATAAAGTGTCTCCAAAACAAATTCATTTCTCAGAACTATCTTCTATATGAATTTAAACAACTAAACTCACAATTATTCATCCCTGCATATTGAATCGCACTTACCCATCTGAAATCTTTCCCATCAAATTTACGGGCACTTGTGAACAGCACTGTCCTGGCTGGCATATTAATTCCCATAGCAAAGGTCTCAGTTGCAAATAAGGCCTAAATAAATAGACAACAGTATCAGACAACAAAATAAGAATTTGTAACTTTATAACTATAAGAAGCAGCTACTTAAGACTTTTCCACATTTTAAATCAGATTTAAATGTACAATACATGTCTGAAACTGCAAACACTTGTTTACCTGAACTATGCATTACATTAGATAAAATGTTGCCAATATTTAGGTACTTATAATACTTCCGCCCCCCAATATGGGTACACCCCAACTACTAAAAACTGGAACAAGAACAATCTCTCCCCACTATTTCCCCCAACAGAAGAAACGTATTAACTAGTTTATAGTTATATGTTTATGTGGGCATGTGAAAAATGGACAGATAGCAAAAGTCTAAGAGGTGAGTTTTGCATTAAATACTGAAAACAGTGAAGTTAGTGGCCATTTTTAACTATTTTGATAGTGAGCCTTATAGTTTTGGCCCAGATTCTGCGATCATTTTGTCACCTTAGCTCACATGTTTTTTTGTTTAGATTAATGCATCGGGAAGGTCTCTTTATATTTCATCTCCTGATCAAGCTGAGAATTTAAATATACAGGGAAGGAGCTCATAAAAAGACGAATTGTGGGGACAAAAGGGAAAGACATACATCTATAAAGAATAGAGCACAATTATTTCTTCCACCTTTCTCATAAAAATATATTTTTGTTATCTTTAGAACTTTATCACATCAAAGACGGTAAGCCAAAATTATTGCAGATCAAGCCAATTCTATGAAAAAATTATTTGAGTTTTAAAACACTATTTACCCCCTCCTACAAAGTCAGCAATGATATTTTAGTCATGAAAAATAAAGAGTGTTAGTGAATTACAAGCAATCCTGCAACCAGCTTTCAGGACAGTGTTCTCATAACAACAACAAATTATATTACATGGGTATATGGTTGTGTGTCCTGCTGGGAATGTTTCAACTCCCCACCCCACAGTAACAGCGACTGATATCATTTCTTGAAAGCACTTACTGTTCATTTTTAAGGCTTTTATTTTAACTAAATCACAATACTGAGAGCAGGTTTCAGAGTAGCAGCCGTGTTAGTCTGTATTCGCAAAAAGAAAAGGAGTACTTGTGGCACCTTAGAGACTAACCAATTTATTTGAGCATAAGCTTTCGTGAGCTACAGCTCACTAAGGTGTCAAAAGTACTCCTTTTCTTTTTGCGAATACTGAGAGCAGAACTCTGCCTAGGATAAACCTAGGATATGTGTGGAGTATATAGATTAGCATCTACAAAGGCGTTAAATAATTTGTTTGCAATGTTGTTGTAGATGTGTTGGTCCCAGAATATGAGAGTCTAGAAAACTAGAGTGTGTAAGCTAAATACAAGATGGGACAGATTGTTAAGCATAAGGGATTCAAACTTGTAGGAGACCACTTAAAATGAAGTGGGCAATTAATACTCCTCCAGTTGTAGGACAATGGAGGGTTAGTAGGAAGCAAGGTATGTGTGGTGGGGCACCGGCCCCACCCCATGAGAAAGAGGGCTGGAACAGGCCAGAGAGGCTGCACAGACCAGCAGCCAATCAGCAAAGGCCTGTGGAGAGCCAATCAGGGCAAAGGAAGAGGCAGCTGAGCAGGGCCAAGCTGGGCCCTATATAGGGGCTGTGTAGCAGAGGAGAAGGTGGTCTCTCCCTGACTAGCGAGGGAGGAGGACTGGCTCTGAAGTAAGGCGGTAGCACCTTGGACAGAGCAGTGCTGGGCAGGCTTGGAGAAGCAGAGGCGAGCTCTGGCCCAGTTACCTGCCAGGCTGCAGCCCCTGTTAAAAAGGGTCAAGAAGGTGCACAGGGCCAAAGGGGAAGTGGCCCAGGGAAGACAGGCAGACAAGAGGGGAGAGAAGGAGGGTAGAGAGAGGCTTCTGCTAGAGGGTCTCTGGCCAGGACCCAGAGTAGCAGGTGGGCCTGGGTCCCCCCCCCCCTTTCCCCCTTGCACTGCACCTGGCCACAGAGGAGTGTGGCCAAGACACACTGCAACTTGCCCCTGAGGGCAGTGTCCTGAAGTGGATATCGCCAAGCAGGGAGCAAGGCGGTTCCCGAATCAACAGAGCAGACAATAGGTGAAACCACGTGCAGAGGGTGCTCTGCAGGGGACAAGAGCTAATTCCCAGAGCAACCAGCAGGAGGCGCCAGTGGTGGTGAGTCATGACCCCGTCAGTGTGTTACAAGTTGTTGAAATGCGCCATAAAACCAGTCTCTATTAAGTCCATGGTTTTTAGTGTCCAGCACAGTTATGAATATAAGTTACCAGCTTGTCTTTTAAAGATGTTATGCACTTTTCCTTTGAGAACAATCTATCCCTTCTTATATTTAGCTTCAACACTCTAGTTTCCTTCTCCAGACCTGAAAAAGAGTTCTGTGAAGCTTGAAAGTTTGTCCCTTCCACCAACAGAAGTTGGTCCAATAAAAGAGATTTCTTCACCCACCTTTTCTCTTTTAGGTAATTTGAGTTAATTGGTAATCAATTCAAATTACAAGAGGAGCAAGAACTCTAGTCTAGACATACCCTTACTCATTCTAGAACAGAATGGAGGGTTTGGCAACTGGCTGCACTCAGTCTGGGGTTTTGTCTACACAGCAGTTTTTTGTGTTTGGAGTTTGTGTACTACTATAGTAGCAGATGGAGGCTCATAATAGAGAATTAAAAAAAAGTTCTTCTGAAGCTAGATTCCCTGAATTGTTACTGCTTTGGGAAGTACAGGACAGGAAATGGGAAAAATTTATATAGATGAAATTCTATAATTTACTGCAATTCTCATATTGAACACGTAATTTTTTTTTGCATTTTTTAAAAAAAATATTGAACTGTTACAATTGGAGCTATAAAGCACCCAAATAAAAAGATACCTAAAGCAACAGAACACTGGTAAATACACTGACTTTTCATTTAGGTGCCCTCCCTCCTCCACCTCCATGCCCAGCTCCCTTAAGGAACAGCTGGTGCTTGGGAAAAGTGTTTCTAAGGTGGAAAAAAGGCACATAGTTAGAAGCCTGATGTGTTTGTTCTCACTGGAAAATGAGTCATCTAGTCATGAATACTTAAAAATAAAGTGGCGCCTCAGAGGAAGGAACTAAAAGCCAATTGTGTTAGTAGAAATTAGTAGAAAAACTCAAGCTTTCCAGAACTGTTGCATGTGTGTTTGAAGAAACAGACCTCTAGATAGTAAGCTTCACAAGCCCTTCTTCTCTGGGGCTGAAACTAGCGCTCCCCTTGTAACTAAAGCCCCGATCCCTGCCCCCAACTGAAACCAGGAGTGGAGCTGAAGCCCCAATCCACAGCGCACCTTCCCCTCCCTCCACTGAAGCCGGGAACCAAGCAGCTTTTTTGGTTGGTTTGCGGTGCTGCCTGATTGAGGACTTCCAGTTTCACAGGGTGTTGGTTAGACTGGTAAGTACATAACTCTAGTGTTCATATTTTTGAGGTTCTACTGCCCCACAATGTACTACTGTACATTTCCAAGGTAGTGAAAGCTAAAATAATGATTATGAAAAATACACAGACTTGTATCTAAATACAGAGGTATGAACTACATACCTTTATCAATCCTTCAGAAAAAAGAATTTCAATGGTTTCCTTTAAAATAGGAAGCAAACCACCATGATGGATGCCAATTCCTCGCTTCAAAAGAGGAAGCACATGCTCAACCTGTGAATACAGAGGGTAAGTGAATGTCTATTTTGATATACTTTTAAAAAAAAAGATATTATATGTAAAACATTTAACAGCTTGCTCTTATAGTTTTCATGTTATCCAACAATTTACATGCAAACAGATAAACAGACTTTGACTGATTAAAAAGATTCACCCCCAACAAAAAGTGGTCCAAGACAGAGGTCAGTTTTGGCTACTTGTTCTAGCACCTCAGATCACATATAAGAGGAATCTCTGATCCACAAGATGTAGTAGCGTCTAGGAGTTCTATTCAAGCATTCAAAATTAAACAGGAAAATTTCCAAATCCACTGTGAAAGAGTATATAAGAAGTGACAGTGGAAAGAAACAGAAATCTCTACTTTCTTGTGACCCTTGAGCACTCTGTGGAAAGTGATGCATTTATCTATGAAAGTAGAATGAGAAAATATGGGATGTTTTGATTATTTCCTCTCCCAGCCAGGGGAAACAGATATTCCATAAGCCAGTGAAGCAAACCTGACCTTGCTATTATGCCCAAGCAGCACTTTACCTGTTGCTTCCAAAGGAGAAGGTAAATAGAACTGCTGACTTGATGAACATATATATCCAGACTTCCAAATAAAACAAATTTGAAGACCATAATCATTGCATCAATTTCAGCCAATCATATCCCTTAGTTTGTCAACATTCCAAACACTCATAGCTTTGTTCAATATTCATAACAACTCAGCATTTTCTTACTGCTAAGCATGGTCTAAGTCACTTTAAAAATGAGAATATTTAAATTTGTAAGTTTACTTAAGAGTTTTTCTTACCCACATAGGGCATTTTTGGAAAATCAATATCTTCATACACATAAAAAGTGGTTTTGTTTGGCTGCAATTTGATCATAAATTTATAGTCTTGAATTATCTTGTTCTGTGAAAGCAGAATGTTCTGTTTGCAAACACTATATAGTTCAAATTCTGAACACTTTAAATTCTTCTAATCGAATCTAAAAGTCCAAAATTATTTTTAAATAAACATATACTCACTTGTTTAGCTTTGTTAATTAGAACTTGTTTTGTTCAGTTTCAGTGTTAAAACTGATCCAAGTATTCTTTCAGGATTAGATTTAATTATCCATAACAGGCAAAATATCAACCTATCCCATATACCAGGAATAGGATTCCATTGTTAAAAGCTTCATATATCTATATCTGTGTGTGTATATATCTAGACTATATATAACACACCAGATTGCAAAATAGTTTCAATTTTTTTCATTCTGAATCCTGATTTTCAACTGCTCTGAACATTTACAAAAACTCAAAGGCTGAACTTTCCATGGCCTGTCTGAGAACAAGTAATTTTTTCTTTTTAAGACCTGGGTAAACTGCATTAAGTCATTATATAAGTTAAAGGAAATGAAAAAAAAAAAAATCAGTCTTCCTGTTCTTCCGTCAGCTGTTCTCATGCAGTTAATTCCAAAACAGCTCCACTTTGAAAGCTGCAACTTTGCATGCTAATAGTCCTTAATGGAGAGTAGCAGCTTAGTCGGGTTTTGACAAAGAGAGAAGTATTAGTGATTGAAAAATTTCTGAGCACGCTTACCGGTTATCTACCAAGATTTTTTTTTAACAGAGCCTCATGAAGTGACATCATAAAGTGAGGCTGGCAGAACTTAAAAGCTCCCTGTTTTGCTTCAATGGCCTCGTCTATGCTAGGGACTTTTAGGAGAGATTCCTGCAATTAGTGAAGCTGAACCGGCGGTAGCACTGGTGAGTTTTTTTCCCTAACACAGGTATGGCCAAAAGCACAAGGGCTGCTACTCCTGTGGCAATTTCCACCTTTCACTGAATCACAACAAAACTCTCCAAAAGGCTAATCAATAACAGGACGAGAAAAAGTTGTACATATAGAGCAAAATAAAAAAAATTAATCCATAATTTTAGTAATTTACAAATTTGTTGCATTTTCAGTATTCTGCAAACTATTTTTTTATTTATTTCTATTTTTTCCATTGTAAAGATGCAACCATTCTCCTATAAATTGGTATGCAGCTGCTCTGTTAACTTGACTTTACAAAAAAAATGACAAGGCAAAATTTCATAAAGAATAGAGAATCAATATCAGTCAGTACATTTGAGCAACTTTCAACCAAAAGAAGTTTTCCACTTATTTGGAGATGTACACTTTATTAAAAAATAAGTCATTTAAAGTTATCCAGAAAATTGAGTAGAGCTATGGTTCAAAACAGTAGTAAAGTATCTATACCCTCTATGTTTTAATTTAGCCCTCACTTTCAATCAAAACAATCTACTGACATTATTCACAATAAGGTTCATAAACAATCCATCATATATTTATTTAAAATACACTGTAGCATATCAGGTATTAATTTTAGTATATGTTCACTGAAATTATTCTTAAGCAACCTCCACACTCACCTGAGGAAGTTTCTTGTCTTCATCAGACAGACAGTCAATTGCATTATTAAATACTTCTTCAACCATCTTTTTTTCTTCATCTAAAAATGGAAACATCTACACATAAGCAAAATTTTTCCTGCAAATACCAGCATGTTCGTTTTGTAAACCATGTCAAATATAACTGATTACTTTTTATAATGTAACCTTTAAAATAGTTATGCTGAAAGTTAGGAAGTCAACATTCATACTCAACTAGTTAAAGAAAGTGACCTCCTAAAGTTACCTTACTTGTACAATTGAAACACATGTATGAGGTACCAAGATAAAGGGTATAATTATGCAGCTGTACACTTAAACTAATTAAAAAAATGTTTTATTTACATGTAGAGGGGAGAATTTTTAATTGCAATGATTACAGTCTGATAGTTGTACATGTGGATTATGGGAACAAATATCCCGCTGCATGTGACAGTGAATGCTACAATTAATTACACTGCCAGCATTGTGCAAAGACAGTCTGTTGACAGGTAGACAAGGTCCCTGCCCTGAAGAGTTCACAATCGACAATGACTTCTCTTACAACTCTCTATATACAGTTACTCCTAAGATTCTCAAAAAGTCTTAAATTCATCTTATTCTTTACCCAAGTTAAGATAAAATGTTGGAGGGCTTTTTCTTTTGGGGGGGGGGTGAAGGAGGGGAGGGAGAACTGTTGAGCTGCTGAGGAAGATCAGTTTAGTTGTTATGTGAGCAAAAAACACATTTTTCTGCTTCTGAGAAATTACTCAGATGCCAAACTCATAACTCAAAAGACCAGGGAAGGGAGGTGGGGAACCACTTGGCATGTGGCCAATCCTTTCTCAACTTGTGCAACTGTTTCTGAAAGTAGCTGTACTATTACTGCTTTTCCAAGATGCACTGCAGGTAAAACTAAGGGCATGTCTACACAAACACCTACTTCATGGCAAACTGGGATGTAAATCTTCAGCGCTCCAGTGTGCCACGTACTAACTGCCTGGGTAGGCCTTGCTCTAATGGGCACTAAAAGTTCCCTAGGTCACACTGATGTACTGCTCATTCAAACCGTAGAACATCAGTGTGCACTAGGAAACAGAACACAGTAGCAGAGTCTACACAGTTAGTGCATTAGAGTACTATAGAATTACTGGGTGGCAAGCATGTGATTACGTACCTATGCCCTATCTAAGGTTCAGAATGAAAAGCCATCTCAACATTGTACACTCATTAGATCCTCTAGTGATGCCAGCAATTTCCAACTACAATTAGCTAATTTATTAAGACTATATATAACTGAAAAGTTCTGCATTTCCATATCTATGTATTGTAAGTCTACTTTTTTCATATTAGATACAAAAGTCTGAAATAAAGTAGAGACCTGACTAGAAAGGCCTCTCACATAAATTATGCAAACCTGCATTTAGAAATAAAACCACACTACAACTTATTTATCTGTACCTGTGTTGAAGTCTAATTTTGTCATCTGAAGTGCATAGGCTTCACAGTCTTTCTTACTGAAACTGAATATAATTACAGGCTGGAAATTCCTTTCCATGATCATCTTCACTATCTTAAATACATTTGATGGTCCTGCAAAGACAAAACATTATTTTAGAAATTACATTAGGAGAAAGTCTCTTAATCTAGACCAGTGGGTCCCAAACTTGTTCCGCCGCTTGTGCAGGGAAAGCCCCTGGCAGGCCGGGCCGGTTTGTTTACCTGCCACGTACGCGGGTTTGGCCGATCGCGGCTCCTAGTGGCCGCGGTTCGCTGCTCCAGGCCAATGGAAGCCGCTGGAAGCGGCAGCACAAGTTTGGGAACCACTGATCTAGACACATGCACTAACAGCATTCTTGTTTGCAGTTTTAAAATAACTTAATTCATCTTTGTATTATATAAGAACCACTTTAAAATACAAGGTTTCAAACTCACCTTTTGTTCCTCCTTTCCTGCCCTTCTGATCTCCTTTTGCTAAGTCACCTGCATCTCTAAGTACTTGCATTGCTGTGTTAAAGTTATCTTCTCTGAAATCGCCCTAGAAATTAATGTGACTTTTGTAAGCAATTTGACTTCTCAATTAAAACTTTATAATGGGCCAGAAATAAGACATTTTAAGTCAGAATACAAAGCAAAAAAATTTGAAATTTATAAAAAAATAAAGTACTTACACTACCATACGTCAGCCTGTGACCCCTTTTATTGGGGGAATGTAGAAGCACATTTGCATGCAAGGATATGAATTTAGAGAGAAATTAACAAAGCAGCAGCATACTATGCTGCCTCTTTTTGGCTCTGTATTAGGATACTGACATAACTGCTGGACCTTGAATTATGAGTAGCCTGATTTGAGTCTAGTCCTTCTCCCAGTGACAATAGTTGCTATGAGTAGGGTCCTACCAAATTCACGGCCATGAAATCTGATCTCCACCATTGAAATCTGGCTGTTGTAGAGGAGACCAGATTTCACAGAGCTGAGTGGCCCAGAGAGTGGCGGCTGCTGGCTGGAAGTCCAGCTCTGAAGGCAGCACCTCTGACAGCAGCAGCGCACAAACGAGGGTGGCACGGTGTGGTATTGCTACACCCTTACTTCTGCGCTGCTGCTGGAGGCAGCCCTACCTTCAGAGCTAGGTGCCCAGCCAGCAGCTGTCCGCCGGCTGCGCCCAGCTCTGAAGGCAACAATGCAGAAGTAAGGATGGCAATACTGCCCCCCCCCCCCCACAATAGCCTTGTTACACACCTCCATAACCCCCTTTTGGTTCGGTACCCCGCCCCCCCCATTACAACACCGTGAAATTTACCATTTAAATATCTGAAACTGTGAAATTTACAGGTTTTAAAATCCTATGATTGTGAAATTGACCAAAATGGACTATGAATTTGGTAGGGCCCTAGCTATGAGATATGTATTTTAAGATTTTGTATTTCTGGATCACGAGTACTTTTTATTTTTGTTTTTTCACATGCAGGGGAGAAACAGTGTTGAAAAATAAGGAAACACTGCAGAGATAATCAAGTCTGCGCCTCAAGAGGGGGAAGTTCCTACTCAAACTCTTGAGCACCTCAATGTGGCACATCATACTCACCTGAATTTTGGGACACTAAATAAAATAATTGCTGTGTTCCGTACCACTGTAATGTTTAACAGCAATCAGAGCACCATGGTCAGAAGGGTTTTTTTTTGTTTTTTAAATGAAATGAAAGAGAGATATTATCCCACATAGAGCTATTTTGTCTGTCAAGCAGGGTAGGATAGGTTGAATTAGTGGTCACAATTTTTGCCACAAGTTAATGGGAGGGAGGAAATTCAAAGCCAAATTTTAAAAAGGACAGTCTCATAATTATTGAAAGCACAGACAATAATCTTTCAAATAAACTGACTAGGTCTTACATTTTCATCAACCACAAGGTGGAGTCCATCCCCCCCTGCTGGGAAAATATAATGTTGCAGAGGAGTAGGTCGATAATCTGTGTAAATCACATGGCAAGGCTAGGAGGGGAGAAACAAAACAATTTACTTCATCACTATTATAAATATGGTATTTATTCAAACAATAATTATACCCCCTTGACCATTTAAAATATTTTAAATCCCAAAACAACAAAAGATTGTGATCAGTCACACTTCTCTTATTAGAGCACAATCAGGAATGCAAACCCATGTTTGCTTTAGAGGCTCATACATCACTGTCTGCACTGAGAGTTGTTGTGTGGCAGGTTAGGGTGTGACTCTACAGTGCACCAGCTTGTATATGGACACTGCTATAGTGCAGTCAAAGTCCCAGAGTAAACTCAGTGTACTATGCCTTCAAGCAGCATTATTCTAAGGGCAAGCCTAAACTGGCAGCGGTTTAACATGGCGGTTTAACTTGTGTGGTCACGGCAGAGCGCTCTGAGAGATGTCTCCCAGTGCTCTAAAAAAACCCACCTCCACGAGGGGCGTAGCTCCCAACGCTGGTGCACTGACTACACTGGCGCTTTATAGCGCTGAAACTTTCTGTGCTCAGGGGTGTGTTTTTTCACACCCCTGAACAAGAAAGTTGCAACGCTGTAAATTGCCAGCGTAGGCAAGCCCAGAGTGAGTCTGTCTCACTCATTCGCATGCAGGCACACACCCACATTCACCCCCTTAACATGTCTCCATGGACACATGCACGGCCAGTCTCTCCCCCCCCGGCGGTGATCTGCTCTCAGCTGCCGGCTGCTCTAAGCAGACGCGCCCCGGCTGCCACGGAAGGGGCATATGTTCCCCACAGATTTCTTTGCTCCCCCATTTTTCTGCAGGGTGCAGAATTCCCCCAGGATTAAGATTCAAACCCTGGCTTGCCATATAGTGACTTGCCATGTAGACAAGCTCTGATGGAAAGTTAGGCCTCAAACATATTATCCAAAAGAAGCTTTATATTGTACTACCAGCGTCTCTTGGGGAAGAAAAAAATAATACAAATACTTTGCAGGAACATACAATTACAAACTCAGTGTAGAAGCCTCAATTATTGGAGGGATACAGCAGTAAATAAGTCTCACTCCAATTTAATGGTTACAAAAAAACCCTATGACTTGACTTAAATGCTGAGACCTACCAGCATATAAAAATGGAAACAAAGGTTAAAAACTCTTAATTTCATTTCCACTTACTGTTACACATTGCAAAGAAGCTTGCATTGTACCCCCGCCCCACACCAAAAAGCACACAAAGTATTCCTTTTACAAAAGATTAAAAGGTCATCCGATGAAGTGAGCTGTAGCTCACAAAAGTTTATGCTCAAATAAATTGGTTAGTCTCTAAAGTGCCACAAGTACTCCTTTTCTTTAAAAGGTCACTGTGAATTTAAAAATTTTATTTTACACCAATTTCCTTTCCTAGGTTACTATAACTGGATTATTGAAACTGAGTGTTTTTAAATCCAACTCATGTTTCACGATTTATGTTTTTTACATTTTTGTCCTTTAGACAAATAAAAAAAAAATCAGTAATTTTCTATTTTCTCTCATACACCCCCCCCCCAACACACACACAGAGTGTCTTTTTGTTCATGTTCTCTGTGCTGCATTGTCTGGGATGTAAACACTACAGGGGAATGTTTATTTGTTTAAAACAACTCCTGCCATTAGGATTTTAAATATATAAACATTTATATTGTTTTACAAAACAGTAGATTTGTTTTTAGATAAGTCAAAATTTTCTGCCAATTTTGAGTTGACAACATTTCTTTAATTGAAGCTGTAAAAGCACCACAATCTATCTAGGAATACAGTTCCCATATACTTGTCAGATAGTCCACTTTTTAAGATACAGATCTTGTGGATCACACCCCACTCAACAATGACTCCAGACCTGTTTATGAAGATGGCAAATCCATTCAGCAAACTGGCGGGCATTCGGAATAGTGGCAGAAAGAAACACATAGTGAACGTTGTCAGGTAGCAAAATAATGGTCTCCTCCCAAACCACACCACGTTCTGAAAACAGAAGATGCACATGGCAAATTATATGAAGGCCCCACAAACTCCTTCCACCCCCTACTCCCCTGAGCTCAGAAGCTGGAGTACAGAAATAGTACACAAAAATCAAAAGGAGGCTTCTTCCTTGCCAAAAGGAATACAGACAGTTATGCACAAGTCTTATTACACACACTAAACTAGTAGAAATCAAACTGAAGAACGCATGAAGAAAGATGACAGCTTATCAGCAGCAAAGACAAAAAAAAAAATCAGAATTTTTTCCAAAGAAATGGTGAAGCAGACAGCAATATATCCCTACACAGTCTTTTCAAAAGCCCACTCCCAGAGGAATGGGGATGAAAAGAAAGTTCATTTTCCATGCTCATTCAAACCATGACCTCTCACCTGATGGAAACGCCAACATCTGTTTCTGTTCTATTTACAACTTTTATGTATTTGAAGAACTCTTGCACACAGCAAAAAAGTTAGATAACAATGTTAAAGGAATGTGGAATGGTGTGACAAAGTGCTGGGCAACAGCACCTATTGAGTTCCTGGGGCAAGCACTCTCGTCGCTGCAGCTCTAATTAATTATTCCAAGAGCAGACCTTATTAAGAAGAGCTGTGCCTAATTGATGAGCTAAGGAGGCTAATTAGGCAGATGATACAAAAGGCACGACAAGGAAGTAGGCTGGGGTGGGGAACCAGACAGACAGACACACTGCTTTTCCCTGAGGACTCCTCAGGACTGTTGGCGTAAGACTGTCCAGCATACAAGATGGTGGGAACCAACATTGTAAAGAAACCATACAGGTTGTTTTACCAACAAAAAGGTCTCTGAGCTGTTTGTGGACTTCAGCAGAGGCAGGAGCGAGCAGGCCATGCCAGAGATGGGGAAAAGAATATACTATTTATTTCATAGCAAATTTGTAAATACACCATACCTGCGTCTCTCATATAATGGATTTCATCAAATATAACCCAGGCAACTTCTCGCATAACCTCAGAACCTCTGTAGAGCATACTTCTCAAAATCTGAAGAAAATAAAAGAGCGTGAGTGATGCATATAGCACTTAAGTAACAGTAATTACTACTACTGAATGTACTCTGTTTTCAAGTATCTCCTTAAGAAAGTTTCACATAGAGATGTTTGGCTCATATTCATATAGTAATCATAGAACTGGAAAAAGACCTTGAGAGGTCATCTAATCCAGTCCCCTGCACTCAAGGCAGGACTAAGTATTATCTAGACCAGTGGCTCTCAAACTTTTTAACTGGTGACCGCTTTCACATAGCAAGTCTTTGAGTGTGAGCCCCCTTGTAAATTAAGAACACTTTTTTATATATTAACACCATTATAAACGCTGGAGGCAAAGCGGGGTTTGGGGTGGAGGTTGACAGCTCTTGACCCCCCCATGAAATAACCTGATGAGCCCCTGAGCAGTAGCAACCCCCAGTTTGAGAAAGACCATTTCTGACAGGTGTTTGTCCAACCTGCTCTTAAAAATCCCCAATGATGGAGATTCCACAACCTCCCTAGACAATTTATTCCAGTGCTTAACCACTCTGACATTTAGGAAGTTTTTCCTAATGTCCAACCTAAATAGCCCTTGCTACAATTTAAGCCCATTGCTTCTTGTCCTATCCTAAGAGGTTAAGAACAACAATTTTTCTCCCTCCTCCTTGTAACAATCTTTTATGTACTTGAAAACTTATGTCCCCTCTCAGTCTTTTCTTCTCTAGACTAAACAAGCCCAATTTTTTCAATCTTCCCTCACTCAAGAGGTTATGTTTTCTAGACCTTTAATCATTTTTGTTGCTCTTCTCTGGACTTTCTCCAATTTGTCCACATCTTTCCTGAAATGTGGTGCCCAGAACTGGACACAATGCTCCAGTTGAGGCCTAAATCAGCACAGAGTAGAATGGAAGAATTACTTCTTGTGTCTTGCTCACAATACTCCTGCTAATACATCCCAGAATATTTGCTTTTTTTGCAACAGCATTACACTGTTGACTCATGTTTAGCTTGTGATCCACTATGACCCCCAGATCCTTTTCCGCAGTACTCTTTCCTAAGCAATCATTTCCCATTTTGTATGTGTGCAACTGATTGTTCCTTCTTAAGTGGAGTACTTTGTATTTGTCCTTATTGAATTTCATCCTATTTACTGCAGACCATTTCTTCAGCTTGTCCAGACCATTTTGAATTTTAATCCTATCCTCCAAAGTGCTTGCAACCCCTCCCAGCTTGGTATCGTCCGCAAACTTTAAAAGTGTACTCTCTATGCCATTACCTAAATCATTGACGAAGATATTGAACAGAACCAGACCCAGAACCGATCCCTGCGGGACCCCACTTGTTATGCCCTTCCAGCATGACTGTGAACCACTGATAACTACTCTCTGGGAATGATTTTCCAACCAGCTTTGCACTCACCTTATAGTAGCTCCATCTAGGTTGTATTTCCCTAGTTTGTTTATGAGAAGGTCATGCGAGACAGTACCAAAAGCCTTACTAAAGTCAAGATATACCACATCTACCACTTCCCCCGTCCATAAGGCTTGTTACCTGATGAAAGAAAGCTATCAGGTTGGTTTGACATGATTTGTTCTTGACAAATCCATGCTGACTGTTATTTATCACCTTATTATCTTCTAGGTGTTTGCAAATTGATTGCTTAATTATTTGCTCCATTATCTTTCTGGGTACAGAAGTTAGGGTGACTGGTCTGTAATTCCCCAAGTTGTTCTTACTTCCCTTTTTATAGATGGGCCCTTTTCCAGGCTTCTGAAATGTCTCCCGTCTTCCATGACTTTTCAAAGATAATTGCTAATGGCTCAAATATCTCCTCAGTCAGCTCCTTGAGTATTCTAGGATGGATTTCGTCAGGCCCTGGTGATTTGAAGATTTGAAGTAATTTCTGACTTGTTCTTTCCCTATTTTAGACTCTAATCCTACCTCATTTTCACTGGCATTCACTGTTAGACATCCACTCGCCACCAATTTTTTTGGTGAAAACCGAAAAAAAGAAGTAATTGAGCACCTCTGCCATTTCATAGATACTAAGGTCAGAAGGGACCATTGTGATCATCTAGTCCGACCTCCTGCACAACGCAGGCCACAGAATCTCACCCACCCACTCCTGCGAAAAACCTCTCACCTATGTCTGAGCTACTGAAGTCCTCAAATCGTGGTTTAAAGACTTCAAGGAGCAGAGAATCCTTCAGCAAGTGACCTGAGCCCCATGCTACAGAGGAAGGCGAAAAACCTCCAGGGCCTCTTCCAATTTGCCCTGGAGGAAAATTCCTTCCCAACCCCAAATATGGTGATCAGCTAAACCCTGAGCATATGGGCAAGATTCACCAGCAAGATACCCAGGAAAGAATTTTCTGTAGTAACTCAGATCCCACCCCATCAGGCCCATTTACCATGAATATTTAAAGATCAATTAATTACCAAAAATCATGTTATCCCATCATACCATCTCCTCCATAAACTTATTGAGTTCCACATTTTCTGTTATTGTCTTTCCCTCCCCTCATTGAGTAACGGGCCTACTCTGTCCTTGGTCTTCCTCTTGCTTCGAGTGTATTTGTAGAATGTTTTCTTGTTTCCCTTTATGTCCCTAACTAGTCTGTTCTTGTTTTGTGCTTGTGCTTTTCTAATTTTGGCCCTACATACTTGTGTTATTTGTTTATATTTATCCTTTGTAATCTGACCGAGTTTCCACTTTTTGTAGGATTCTTTTTTAAGTTTTAGATCATTGAAGATCTCCTGGTTAAGCCAGGGTGGTCTCTTCCACACTTCCTATCTTTCCCACACAGTGGGGTAGTTTGCTCTTGTGCTTTTAATAATGTCTTCTTGAAAAACTACCAACAGTCTTCAATTGTTTTTCCCCTGAGACTTGCTTCCCATGGGATTTTACCTACAACTCCCTGAGTTTGCTAAAGTCTGCCTTCTTGAAATCCATTGTCTTTATTGTGCTATTCTCCCTCCTGCCATTCCTTAGAATTGTAAACTCTACCATTTCATGATCACTTTCACCCAAGTTGCCGTCCACTTTCAAATTCTCAACCAGTTCCTCCCAATTTGTCAAAATCAAATCTAGAACAGCCTCCCCCCCAGTAGCTTTCTCCACCTTCTGAAATAAAAAATGGTCTCCAATACATTCTAAGAACTTGTTGGATAATCTGTGCCGTGCTGTGTTATTTTCCTAACAGATGTTTGGGTAGTTGAAGTCCCCCCATCACCATCAAAGTCCTGTGCTTTTAATGATTTTGTTAGCTGTTTCAAAAAAAGCCTCATCCACCTCTTCTTCCCGGTTAGGTGGTCTGAAGTAGACCCCTAACCAGGATATCACCCTTGGTTTTTACCCCTTTTATCATTACCCAGAGACTTTCAACAAGTCTGTCTCTTATTTCTATCTCAACCTCAGTCCAAGTGTATACATTTTTAATATATAAGAGAACACCTCCTCCCTTTTTCCCCTGCCTGTCCTTCCTGAGCAAGCTGTAACCTTCTATACCAATATTCCAGTCATGCGTATTATCCCACCAAGTCTCCATGATGCCAACTAGGTCATAGTTGTGTTTATTTACCAGCATTTCAAGTTCTTCCTGCTTATTCCCCATACTTCTTGCATTAGTATACAGACATCTAAGATACTGATTTGATTTCTGCCCCCCTCAGTTCTGTCTCGTCTCTCCCTTATTTCTGCTGTAACAGCCCATGCCCCCCCCACAAATTCCAACCCTTCTCCCAGGTCTCCATGTTTTTGACTTACCTGTGGGCTTTGGTCACCTGCCCCCGTTGAACCTAGTTTAAAGTCCTCCTCATAAATTAAGGTAATATGAAACCTTAATTTGCAATTAAAAAAAACTACACATTTAGAGGTAGGTTATTAAAAAGAATATCAAATCTGTAGCAAGCTGCTCCTAGAAATAATTATAAAATACTCCTCACAATACATGCTAATCATCAAACTCAGCAACATGATTTGAACCTGTTCCCCCCGAGATATAGTGAAGGAACAAGGGGCTGAATTACCATTAAATTTCAGGACCAGTTCAGCTTAATGTTCTTTTAAACCTTCACTTACCCCAAAGATGCCACACAGGTAATTACTACGTTAAGGGGAAATCCTTTAAAGTCTAAGAGTTCTTCCCACTCAAGTTTCTCTCCTGAAAAATATTTACTTCTTTAAAGTGACTTCTGATTATTCCCTGAGTAAATGCATACAGTGAACTGCAGATCTGTGTTCCACAGACTTCTAAGACAGAAACATTACAAAGACTTATTATCAATGCTGCCTTAGTCACAGTGGGGTGAGTCATAAGATCCTGAGGAACTGACACGCAAGCTAATGTAATATGTCAAAGCACTCTAATCTACTGATGCAGAGGATGAATGGAAGTAGCATTCCTTTTAAAAACTGATCCCCAAAAGCTATAAAAAATAACCTTGCTAACTTTAAGTGCCTCAGTCCTACCCAAATAAAAACTTAAAGTCCTCAACATCTAGGACAGTGTTTCCCGAACTGTGGGTTGTGACTAATGAAAGGGTGCCATAGGAGGATGAAGTGAGCTGTAGCTCACGAAAGCTTATGCTCAAATAAATTTGTTAGTCTCTAAGGAGCCACAAGTACTCCTTTTCTTATAGGAGGTCTTGAGACTCTTGCAGCTCCTGTCCCTCAGGGCTGCCTGGGGTTGGCTCTCTACTGCAGGTGTTGCAACCTGGCCTCTGGCACATGGGGTCACAACTCCACTCACTCAAATTTGGGCTGGCCACCCCATTATCGGGGAACAGGGCCTAACCTGAGCAGCACTGCAACGTGACCCCATATGCCAGAGGCCAGGTCGCAACACCCAAAGTGGGAAACTGAGCCCAATCAGCTCCACGGGACAGGAGCCACAGGAGCTGCTGCTTCAGGATCAGTGCAGAGTGAGCTTGCTCTACAGCTCCCCCACTTGGGCCTCCCAACCCCCAGGGTCAGGAACTGACCTGCTTTAGCCACTTAACATATTGAGACTCCCCAACAGGTCCCTGGGGATGCATTAAGTAAGCCAAAAGGAGGTCATGGCATAAAAAAGTCTGGGAACCACTGATCTAGGATATGGACTCCTAATTTTCCCCAGGTGTTAAGAAATTTTGGAAAGACCATCTGGAGAGCAACAATCTAAGTCAGGTGGGAAATCAAGACACCATTTTTTATATAAGCCTGGACCACTTTATCACTGTGAAATATGGTGACAAGAAATCAGCTATTATCATATGCAACACTCACTCTTCTTACAGATGTAACTTATTGAAAATACTGTCTTTAATAACAGGTGGAATCTTCAAAGGTCTCAAAAAGAGACTCCATCAACCCTGTCAGCACCAGGTTGAAGTACCATTTTGCAATGGCCTTTCTGACTAATGGGAAGATTGACATTTCAGGAGTCTTGTGACTTGACTGAAAACAACAGAACTGTTAACTGACAGATATGGTGAGCGTACACACAATTGCACCTTCATAGAAAAACAGGAGAGGATGAGAAGCCACATTTAATAAACAACCTAGAAGAGAATATGGATACAGATTAGCTGCTCACAGAGAAAGAAATTTCAGAGCAGAGGGCTTTTTGGACTACAATAAAATCTCTTGCACTTCCACAGAGCATGTCAGACCAAAATTAGTTAGCCTCCTGTGAACACACAACGAGGTCACTGAGATGTTCAGATATTCCTGAAAGAGCTGGTCTGACAACACCACTAATAGAAACAGAAGCTTCGCTAAAAGATCCATTCATCAGCACAATCTAGACCAGTGTTTCAACCTCTTTGTGCGGGTGACGCTCTTTGGACTTAAAAAAAAAAAAAAAAGTGTGACCCCCCCCCCGTCTACTTCAAAAAAAATTGCAACCTCTTACCCAGAGCTGAAGCATTTCACATCGCTGTCCGTTACCAAACAAAGTTTGAAGAGAGACAGCTCCATTTCTTGAGTCAGATCTACCACGGTCTAATTAAAGGACCATGCACATCATCTCAAACCTGAAAAAGTCAGGCACCAGCCCCACAAAGGCATTGTCTTCTGATAGAGTTGGTGGGAATGAGAAACCTCTTAACTGCTGAGGAAGACATGGAAACTCTGCTGCCCACTGGCGCAAGCTTGAGATGTGAAGCCCTTACACAATAAGCAGTGATCTAGACTTTCCCAGGCAGAGGAAACAACAGGTATGTGAATCCACAGGGAAGCATGAGACATACTACTGAAGTAAAACCTTAGTGACTTGATTGGCCATGAGAAAAAAAGGTTGAAGGATCATACATATAGAATAAAAATGTAATGTGTAATGGGGCACACTACCTAATATTTACTAACTAGCTAAACTACAATTTAACAGTAAATATGGAAGCATTACCATTCACCTAGAGCCAACTAAGAAAAGGAAGAAACTGTAATGTTTGGGGCCACATTGCCCTTTTACAATCTGGTTCCAAAAATTCATACTTAGAAAGCAGCCCTAACAGGCTCTTCTTTCCAGAAGATTCCTGAGGCACCAGAAAACCTAGGACGCATCTCAAAAATGTGAACATACAGCGGTCATTTCAAAATAGTTCATTCCCCCCCCCCCAATAATCAGAGACTAAATTGAAGGCAGGGGAGGCTGTGAGGGCAGAGGGAACTTAAAATGTTGTGGTATTTTTAACGTAATTCACCCAGTATAGTCTTTGGCTGAAACAGAAAGATTTCCAACATTCTCAACAGCATGGGCCAAAAGTACTCCAACAGAGACAAAAAGGAACAGCAAAAGGACTAAGTACTACCTACTTAAACATACCTCTGTTGTCATTACAAGACAAGAAGCTGTAGGATTAATGGTGACATCCCCAGTCATCAAACCAACATCCTGAAATTCTTCATACATCTCACGATACTTCTGGTTACTCAGAGCTTTAATAGGACTAGTAAATATCACACGCTGTTTCTCCCTCAGAGCCAAGGCAATCGCATACCTACAATATAATATTAAATACATGTGAGACATTTACACCTTTCTACCCTTCCATGAAAAGTAAAAATCTAACACAGAAGACTGGTAACAAAATAGGAAGCCTTTCACCTGTTGGTTACCAGCTTCAATTTAATCGAAGCTGGTAGAACTTATATATCATTGCACAGAGACTCTAAGTTACACTTGGAAAATTAGATTTGTTAAATAAATTAAAGTAGTGACTGTGACGGGTTATCCCCCACTCCGGGGTGCCACCTGATATACTGGGGTACCACTGAGATCGCCTGTTCCACCAGTCTGGGCTCCCTTACACTGACCTGCTGAGCCAGGCCCTCAAGCCTCCTCCAGCACACACAGGTAGGGACACACCCAGATGCAGAAAGACACAGACACTGAGATCAACTCTGCATGGAAAAACTCAGGTAGGGAATTGTCCAGCACTCAAGTGCACACGTCCTCCAGAATGTAAACCCAAAATTCTATTGTCTTGTGCTGCACAGGGAACTGTACAGCATAAGCTAATTGAAATTTGCCTCCTCCCTCAATGTGGAGGAAGATATGCACAGCTTTTGCCCCCCCCCCAGTTATGAATTTCACAAAATCGTTTCAGAGAAAACAAAGCCAAGTTGATTAACTACAAAGGTAGATTTTAAGCGATTAAAAGGAATAGCAAACAGATCAAAGCAGATTACTGAACAAATAAAACACACACCAAAACTAAGCTTAATACACTAAAGAAACTGGTTACAAGCTGTGTTCCCTGTAAGCTGCACACTTGGGCGGCCACCCAGCTCATTAGCAGAGCGCATACAACCAGCAGCATGTGCTCTGTCCTACAGCTGTTCCCGGGACCCTCCTGCTGTGTGGGGGCGGGGGGGGGAGGAGAGAGAGAGAAGAGGGAAGGGGAGGAGGGTGCTGATCTGAGGGTGTCCCCCTCTCCCCACCCCTGTACCCCATCTCCACAGAGCAGGGGAGAGGGGTCACAGCCTGGCTCAGGACTGAGTCAGGACTCAGAGCTGCTGCAGTGATTGGTGAGTGCCTTTCTTAAAGAGACAGTGCACTGTTTCTGAGATTTCCCCAGCAGCCAGTAGAGTCTCTCTCTCCACTCTGTCACACACATGGTCTCTGTCACACACACGCTGTGCCACACACATGCATGCATACGCTATCTCTTTCACACTCACCTCCCAACCCATACTTGTATTATTGTTGTTACTTCTTGGTACTTCCTGCAATGCACACATATTGTCTGTAATTTTATTCTTTCGAACTGTTATTTTAGTGTTTTGGCTGATCTATGCATTTCATAATTTTTATTTCTCTTACACTTAAATTTAATTCTTTGAGTAGTGAGTCCTAAAATGCCTAACCTGTCTGGGCTGAAATAATTATCCCTATGGTAACTTTTTAAAAATATATATTATATCTAGGTTTTGTGCTTCTACTGGTATGGCGTACATTTCTCGGTGCACATAACTAAATTTATTCCACACATGGATGGAAAAAATTAGAGGGAACGTTTGTTACGAGCAGTAATTCACCCTAAATGTTGTTTTAGGCACTTCTTTCACAGGCCAGCCACCTTTTCCAGCCTCGGCTCAGCTCTTCTCCCGCCCTTTTGCCAGTGTAGACAAGGCCGAAGAAACAAAGACAAGTTTCTGCGCAGTAAAGCAGCTTTCTGCATTGTAACTCCCGAGGCATACACATGGCCAAGCCACTTAGTGTGCAGAAAATGTGCAGTTGCAATGCTGTTAAAAAAAAACCCAAAAAACCCCACACCACCCTGACAAAAGGCGCACAGCTTTCTGCACCAGGGCTACAGCGCAGCGGTGCCAGCGTGGACACCCTGGTCAATTACAGTGCTGAAACTGGCCTCCGGTAGGTGTCCCATAATACCTGTTCTTGCCTCTCTGGTCATCAGTTTGAACTCTACTGCCCTGCCCTGAGGTGACCAACCGTCATCCCCACCACGTAAATTCCTTTGGAATTTTGAAAGTCCCCTTCCTGTTTGCTTGGTGATGTGTGCAGCAATCTCAGCGCATCTTTCCAGGTGGACGTGCCTGCTCCACGTACCAGGCAATCCCCAGCTTGGAGCAATGCAGAGCTGCTGGACCTCATCAGCATTTGGGGAGAGGAGGTTGTCCAGTCCTTGCTGCGCTCCAGCCGTAGGAATTATGATACCTATGGACAGATTTCACGATGCATGACAGAAAGGGGCCATGACCAGGACACACTTCAGTGCAGGTCAAAGTGAAGCAACTGTGGAACGCCTACCATAAGGCGCGGGAGGCAAACCACTGCTCTGGTGCTGCGCCCCTGAGCTGCTGGTTCTACAAAGAGCTAGACGCGATACTCGGTGGTGACCCCACCTCCACTGCGAAGACCACTGTGGATACTTCAGCGGCTCACGTGCCAGTCGAGAGTGGACTGAGCCAGGAGAAGGAAATCTTGGACGAGGATGTGGAGGGGGACCCAGAGGCAGAGGACAACTTGCAGGTCAGAGATGCATGCAGCCAGGAGCTCTTTTCTACCCCGCAGGACACTAGCCAGTCATAGCTGTCGGCTCATGGCGAAGCACAAACAAGAAAGGAAGCCCCTGGTAAGTGGATTTGATTTTGGGAATCACTGAAGCGAGATTTTGGGGGAGATTTGGAGAGTTGCAGAAAGCAGGCTTGTGTCCGTATGATGTGTGTATCACCACATGCCTTGTCTAAGCGGCGGAACAGACTGTTCATTGACTCTCTCACTTCACGTGAATCTGCCTCAGATCTCCAGGAAACTCTCATGGAGACACTGGGCAATCTGCTGCTGCAGGTTCTTTGGCAGAGCTGCTTTGTTTCTTGCCCCACGAATAGTAACTTTCCCACACCACTCTGCCATCCCTGGGGGTAGGGGGACGGATGGACGGACCATTGCTGCACACAAGCAAGCCGCATAATGGCCAGAGCAGAAGCCGCAGTCTTGGAGAAGACCCTCCCTTGATTCCCTGTTCACCCTCAGCAGCGAGAGATCTTCCATAATGAACAAAGCCTGCAGAAAATGTGGGGACAGGAATGATTATAGACCCCCCCTACAGTGCTGGCTCTCCCCAAGAGCCATGTGCCCAGTGAACAGTAGGGTCTGGGAACAATGATTTACCCTGCTCCTGTGGCTACTCACCATTTTGGGGGTCTTGTGGCTCATGTGTGATTGCCTGGGGTCAGCCAGTAGATGTTTCCAGCAGTCATCCCGGACGGGGATTTAGTGAAGAACGAACCCCGATTAACTTATTTCCCTGCCTTAAATAGGATTTACATATGGCACGAATCCTTTGTTTCCCAGTTTGATCCCCACCCCCTATTAGTAGAAAAATCCTAGTAGTCCAAGATGAAGTTCAATACCAGGTGACATGATCACATGATCCTGTAGTGTCACAGCAACCTGAGTCAAAGACCATTTGAAGCATCGCAGGAAAATGGGAGATTAGCATCTTCAAAGCCAGACTGATTGCATTTTGTCTGGTGAGCCTTCCCCAGGTTCAAACGCTTTTGTAATTGATACATAGTCAATATTCCTAACTGTAGATACAAAAATGGTACGTGCATACAAATAGGATAATCACATTCAGCAAATCATAACCTTTTCAATGATACCTCACGTGACTTATCTTGCACAAAGAACATTAGTTATGCCATATTCATATCATAACAATATTTCTATGAAGAATATGGGGTGTAGTGTCACAGTGACCTGAAATATTACAGAAGATATTATCAGAAAAAAATTGAGAGAAACCATTAAATGTGAACAAAGGCCAAGCTACTGTTTTATCTCAAGAGGTGCTCTCTCCAGTTAAGGGGAGAAGCCTCTTATTCCCAAATGAAAGCACAGGGGAAAATTTATAGAACTCCTTCCCATGCCCTTATAAACATTTTGTGGTTAAATAGCAGACATCAGCCTACAAAGAAGACAAACCATTACCTCTCAACAAAAAACAAACAAAATAAAAATCAACTATTTGACTATGAATTACAGCCTAGAGGGAGAAAACATAACTGGCGATTTTCTAAAATCAGTCAACCTGTGGAACTTGTTGCCAGGGAATGTTATGCAGGCCAAAACTGTAACAGGGTTCAAAAAAGAATTAGATAAGTTCATGTAGGATAGGTTCATCTATGGTGTCAAGGTTCCTCCCCCACTCTGAACTCTAGGGTGCAGATGTGGGGACCTGCATGAAAAACCTCCTAAGCTTATCTTTACCAGCTTAGGTCAAAACTTCCCCAAGGTACAAAATATTCCACCCTTTGTCTTTGGATTGGCCGCTACCACCACCAAACTAATACTGGTTACTGGGGAAGAGCTGTTTGGACGCGTCTTTCCCCCCAAAATACTTCCCAAAACCTTGCACCCCACTTCCTGGACAAGGTTTGGAAAAAGCCTCACCAATTTGCCTAGGTGACTACAGACCCAGACCCTTGGATCTGAGAACGATGAAAAAGCATTCAGTTTTCTTACAAGAAGACTTTTAATAAAAATAGAAGTAAATAGAAATAAAGAAATCCCCCCTGTAAAATCAGGATGGTAGATACCTTACAGGGTAATTAGATTCAAAACACAGAGAACCCCTCTAGGCAAAACCTTAAGTTACAAAAAAGATACACAGACAGAAATAGTTATTCTATTCAGCACAGTTCTTTTCTCAGCCATTTAAAGAAATCATAATCTAACACGTACCTAGCTAGATTACTTACTAAAAGTTCTAAGACTCCATTCCTGGTCTATCCCCAACAAAAGCAGACTACAGACAGACACACAGACCCTTTGTTTCTCTCCCTCCTCCCAGCTTTTGAAAGTATCTTGTCTCCTCATTGGTCATTTTGGTCAGGTGCCAGCGAGGTTACCTTTAGCTTCTTAACCCTTTACAGGTGAGAGGAGTTTTCCCCTGGCCAGGAGGGATTTCAAAGGGGTTTACCCTTCCCTTTATATTTATGACATATGGCTATTAGCCAAGATGGTCAGGCATGCAACTCCATCGTCCGGGCATCCCTAGCCTCTGACTGCCAGAAGCTGGGAGTGGACAACATGGGATGGATCACTCAATTATTGCCAGTTCTGTTCCCTCTGAAGCACCTGGCATTGACCACTGTGGGAAGACAGGATAGGATATTGAGCTAGATGAATCATTGGTCTGACCCAGTATGGCTGTTCTTATGTTCATTCTACATAAAAAACATCAACAGAAGCAGACTGTTTCAAAAATAAAAAATAAATTTAAAAAATCAAGTCTAAAAGTGGAGAAATCCTCCACCACTGTCACTTGCTAAGCACGATGAAGAAAATAACTTTTGTTTTACATTTTAACACACATCTGAGTGGTCAAAATATTTGTAAATCATTAAGTCACACCTTACTACTGGCAACACACTACTTTAGAAAGTGTGACTGATGCTACAGAACTTTTAAAAGTTTTCCTCTTGGAATCAGCAGAACTAACAGGGGAAACGCCACACTATTCACTCTTACAAAAATCTATCACAAAATTACTTACTCTGCACACACAGTTTTGCCAGCTGATGTATGAGCTGACACTAAAACAGACTGATTGTTATCCACACAAAGAATGGCTTCTCTTTGAAAAGCATCAAGAATGAATGGATATTCCTAAAAAGAAAAAAAAAAAAGCATTTAAAAGCAACATACTTTATAGCTTAAATTTTGTTGTTTTCCAGACTGACCTAATGAGCAAATTTCAGCCTCAAGCAAAATTTATGACTAGTTACCATCTCATTCCACTTGAAAATAGTATTTTATAATAGTTTTTTTATTTAGATTTTGGATTAACTTACTCTGAGAGTTAAGTTCGCGAGTCTCAGCCAGATCCGTAACTGATGTAAAATGGCAAATCTAGGCCTTTATATGTTTAGATTTTGTATGGCGTCTATTACAAAAATAAAAGAAGAACAAACCCACAGTTTATACCACTGGAGCCACTGAATGATGCTGCCAAATGGGTGATGGAAACCAAACCAGAGCAATCTCTCCATCTAGCTCTAACTAAAATTACATTAAAGACAAACATTAATCTACTCATTCAGTGCAGAGACCACTTTTTAAAGATTTCCCTTTACTTCACTGCTGCTGATAGGGCCCATTTATCCCCATTTATCTACTTATAGCCTACAGGCTATAAATCTGTATTTTTTTTTCTTTTAAATCTATCACACACCTTTGAAGCTTTTCCAGTTCTTGGCTTTAGGGCTATGAAGTCTTCATTTGCAGGAAGTGCAACCTAACAAAAACAGAAAAAAACACCGAGTTTTAGAATGCTTTGTGTTCAAGGTGATTCTTAATTACAATGCAGCCACTCTGACTCAAACTACTATTCAATTAGTACTATCAAGCTAAACAGAGTGGGTCAGGACTCAGGAGACAAACAAAACACAGGAATTTACTTTTGACTTTTCAACTTCTATAACACTGCTTCTTATGTTTTGACATGTCAAATGTTCCCTCTTCTTCAAACCCATCTTTTCAAGCAATCACTAATAAATTCCATTCCCTCCTTTTCCTGGCATATTATCTACTGTTTTGTCTTGTCTTAGATTGTTAGAAATTCAGGATAAGGAATGTTGCAATATATGACTGTAAGTGACTGTTTACTACTCCTAAGGAAAATCTGCATCAAAAAATTTAGAATTCTGCACACAATATTTTAATATTATGCATATTATTAGTCAAAGTAACACAATATAATCACAACCGTTTCAATTATTTTGGCAGTGTATTTCAAAATACCTGTCAGCAAGTATGTCTGTAACAATACAAACAACAAAAAAGATTCAGGAAATGTTTTTTTGATAAACAGATTCCTTACAAGGCATATTAATACAGAATTTGATGTATCTTTGTTGACAATTGTCTTCTGTTTCAGTGAAATTAAATATTTCATTTAAACAAAGTCATTATACATAAGTATTGTAATGACCTGACCTAAGACGGCGCTAGCATCTGTCATGCCTTGTCCAAGTTCAAGCTTGTGTGTGTATTGTAAGGTTTTTGGGTCACACCACTGTAGTGGGAGGGGGGATTGGTGAGTTAGCGGTAGTTTAATTGTAGGCTAGGGGGTGATTAGCATGGGGAAGAGAAACCCCCAGGTAGAGACCCCTTTCACGCTCTCCAACGTTACACACTCTTGGTAACAAATGTGCTGTCTTTGAGTAATAACTCAATTAAACTACAATACAGAAAAAAAAGTCCCAATAACTATTCAGCATTTCCTAAAGGTCAAGGCAAGTGCGTGCACACACATTTGTGTGGATTGGGTTGTGTGCACGGTTCTCCAGCCAACATCTCTTTGTCTCCGGAAGTAGTAGGTGTGCCCCTATTCCAGGCACAGACAGGAGTGTTGGGGAGGCAGGAGGTAGCAATACCTGGGAGGGTCCAGGCTGGCAGGGACTAAAAGAGGAAGGACGGCGCCACTAGGATCAGATGTGTGCAGAGTGGTGCTCAGGATGAAGTGCTACTGTACAGTGTGAGAGCAACTGCTGCACCCATCGAGAGAGCCTGTGGTTCCAGCCTGTGTGTAAGCGGAGTTATAGGTCTAGAGAAGCTCAGTTAATAGGGCTAGAGAGACAGCTGTGAGTAGTGCTAATATAGGGGGTCAGAATGTGGGAGCACTGTTAGCTCAGTTAGCAAGGGTTTATTGTTTTGGCTCAGCACAGGTCAACAGAAGCTTAGAGTGCCATAAGAGGGAAATAAAAAGCTCCCTGAGCCATGCATTGGAATTCTACATCTGTCCATTATTGAAACAAAAAATTAGAGAAACCCTGCAATGTCACAGTACATACTAAACAGCCTATTCACTGCTCAGATCCTTTTGCGCTCTCCAAAAATACACATTCTTGGTAACAAATGTCCTGTCTTTGAGTAATAAACTCATTTAAACTACAATACAGAAAAAAAAGTTCCAATAACTATTCAGCATTTCCTAAACACATGAAAGTTAAGTTACCAATACATGGTAACCAATACTTGCATTTAAGTTATAATCCTGGATTTTCATTTAAAAATTACATTGCAAAAGACCAAACAGCAAAATATAAAGTAGAATGTCATTTTATATTGCTCAGCATTTTCACACATGTAAGTCATACGTTTTTGCTAATCATTGTCCAGCATTTCAGTACAATCCAGTATTTTCATTTAAATTATAGCACAGAAAACAAAGCCTTCAAATTTTTCTCACTTAGTGATTTCCTCCTGGCAAAAAGGATCAAATTGTACAGTGAAAAAATTCTCTCTGCATCTACAGAGTTTGAGACAACATTTACACAATTCAAGGCCAGATTGGCAATATTTGGAATTTTCTTTCCCTGAAAGCCAAAACACCTGGAGGTCTACAAAAAAAAGCTTGACTACGAATAGCTTCAGGCACAACTTTTTCCCAATATAGTTTTAGCTCACGTTCAGTTACCACAGAAAAACCAGGTATTGCTTGAAAATACTCAGTGTTCTGACAAGATATAAACAGGATGAGGATCAAATAACCTACAGGCCTTCAGAAAATTCAGACCTGGTTGTCCAAATGACAAATATTTATCAAGCTTATCAGAAGCGTCATGGAATGCCTCTTTAAAGAGATCTAGACAGGCAAGTCTTTCAACAGGAGATAAGTTTTCTGCCTCCCTGAATTTGAAGAACTCAGAGGTATTTTTGAAGGACACTCTATATGTGAACTAAAATATATCTGGTTTCAG